TCTCCACTCAGACCTTGAGCCACTGGCCACCCCTCTGAGTGCGACCACCCAGCCAGTTCCTTTTCCACCGAATGGTCCATCCGTCAAATCCATGCCTCTCCAATTTAGAGATAAGGATGTTGTGTGGGACATGCCCACATCTCTGGCAATAAGGGAACAGAGGTTTGTTATAAGAAACGGTCTGTCATTTCTCCCTTGCTCCTGTTCATGCCTAAATATGAGGAAACATGCCTCTGGCCATCAAACCATGCTCCTTTGCCAGAGTTTTGCTTTCTCTGCAATATCAAAAACAGTTAACAACAATAAATTAAAATTAATCCACCTTCTGGATTTGCCAGTAGGTTTTGACTCCTCTTCTTCCTGTCTTTTAGGCCTGAAAACCTCTTTGAACAGGTACTGGTTTAGCTTTACACAATGATTTACTGCAGTTTACACAGGAATTACTGTATAGCTTTACACAGTAATGACACCACGGTGCCTTAAGGCACTTCAGTACCTCTGTGGCACAAATACACGCAGTGTAGAAGCCAAGGAGGTATGAACAGGAAGAATGGTACGATTTGGAGCAAAGCCTCACGTTCTTTTGAGGCACCTCCTGGACAACAAGGCCTTGTAGCTTCCAGGAGAGTCATGTAAGAGCAATTATAAATCTTGCCACTGACATTGTTTAACATGAGGTCCCTTCAAAGATGACAGCAGCAAATTCTGATTAAAGCAGGCTCAAGACAACTTAAAAACTCCTGGAAGCAATCAATTATATACCTCTGTGGCAATTTCACCACTGAATGTATGCTGAAATTGTTTCATATTAATATATGAAGAAGAGGCATGCAGAAATCTATGCAGAAAACTAATTTCGTGACAATATAAAAAAACCCCAGCCTACACTGAGCAGAAAATGGTTAAGTGTGACATTTGCAATTTCAATTTGCCAGGATGCTGCTTTTTCAGCATACTTATGCTGCTTTTTCAGCATACTTCTCTTAGCTTGTCTTAGCCGTACCACAGTCTGCCAAAGTGGCTGACCTTGGGGGTTAGCAAGACGATTCCTCATGCACCTACTCTGTAAACTGCTTTGCTTTTCTCTGCAGTAGGAGACCCAGTAATTCTATGCTACACAGAACAGGCAATATCCTCTGTGTGTCTACAACGCAGCGGTTAGTGGGGACTCATTCTGCATCTGTAACATCATCACAAGGCACTGCACTGCAGCAGCAATGAGCTCTTATCCTACTTCAGAAGTCAGCTACACCGTATACATCACTTTCCCTCTTCTTTTATTTCTACGGAACATGGGGAGAACAGAATACGGCAGGGGAGAAGTGAATGATACCCTCAACCTTAACTGCAAGACATTTACTGATGGCTCAGGCTTCCCCATCCTTTTCTAAAGCCATGTTTCTAAGCCAGTGTGTGTAGGTGGCTTCACTGACGGCTAGCTCCACAGCAACATCAGTGCAAGCCTCTCTGCAAAGCGCCACCACAGAAATTCTACCCCTGCCCCCAGGAGAGGCATTGCAGAAAAGTTCTAATGCTTCCCAGGGCAATCTACTACTCTGCACTGCAAAATGAAACAGCAGCTTCCTCCTACCCACAAAACTACCAGTGATCTATCTACACCAACCATTCTGCCATCAATTCCTTCATGCTGGCATGGTTTAACACCAGTCAGCAGCTAAGCACCACACTGCTGCTTCCTCACCACAGTGGGATGGGGGCATCAGAGGAAAAAGGTAAGAAAACTCACGTGTTGAGATAAGAAAAGTTTAGTAATTGAAAATAAATAAAATAATGGTATTATGAATAATAAGTAATTGAAAAATTACTACTATGAATGATAATAATAAGGAAAACAAGATACAACTGCTCACCAGCCACGACCCACCACCCAGCCATTGAGCAGCGATTTTCCCCCAGCCAACTCCCTGCAGTTTATATACTGAGTGTGATGTCTTATGGCATGAAATACCCCTTTGGTCAGTTTGGGTCAGCTGTCCTGGCTGTGTCCCCTCCCAGCTTCTTGTAGAGAAGAAGCTGGGAACACATGCAGTATAAGAAACTGAAGAAGTCCTTAGCCTAATGTAAACATTGCTTGGCAACAACTAGAACATCAGTGTTATCACCATTCTTTGTTGCTTGGCAACAACTGGAACATCAGTGTTACCAACATACTTCTCAGCACAAATACAGAAGGTAGCCTCACACTAGCTAGTATGAAGAAAATTAACTCTTTCCTGGCTGAAACCGTCACGTCTTCTCAAACAGCAGGTCTCAAACTCGATGACAGGAAAAGATGAAGGAGGCAAATGCAGTAAGGTAAGTGTTGAGTATTTTCCTTCAGCTTCAAAGGATGACTTTTAGGGCTTCATGAAGTAACTTCCTACTATACTGGCGAGTTGTCACAGCAATACAGGTAGCAGTAACTTCTGTCTGACTGCCCATCAACAAAGCAAGCACACTGTGAGACTAATGCAGTACAAACAAACAGGAAGAGTTTCCTGTTGCGATGAGGGAGGGTGAGAAGAGTTCATCTCATGGTGGGTTAACCATAGGATGAGTAACAGCGACATAGACCTTACTCAGAAAGCATACTACAGTCTCCATTTCAAGAAATAAGTCTCCAGCTCAGAAGAGACACATGTTTGCATCCACTGATGTGAAACCCTCAGCATCTTCGCCACTGCAGCTACACACAGCCAATTCCTTCCTCAGGTGTTACAAAAGCAATCTGCACTCACCCGCTTCCTGCGGCTACCTTCTCATCTTCCGGCTTTCTCACTAATGCACCTACAAGTGCCTCAGCAAACCACGGTGCGTTTTAGAATGACTCTTCCTTCCTATACAGGATTAGTAGGCCAGGAAAACTGACACCAGGGGAGGCTAATGTCAGCCATCCCAGGCTTCTAGTCCTGAACACTTTAATTGCAAGGCCACAGCTCTGGCCATTAGTTATTCATCCCAGTGTATCACCAGGCAGATTCTGCACCAGGTCTCAGCAGCTTGTTTTAAAAATTCTGCACTTGCAGACTAGTAACTCCAAGCGACCAGCAGATGGTATCCTACTAACAGCATCAGTTAACACTGAAAGTTATCAGCACAGTCCAAAGAGCAGACTGTTACGCTCTTACACCAGCACTGCAAAAGTCCTTCCACACACATCACTTGAAAACACCCATGAGAAGTGCCGTCAGCAGATATTTGAGACAGTAGTAGATATTTGGCTCAAACTATTTACTCGAAGAGAAGCAGAAGGGAAATCTCATCCTTAATTTTTCACATAATACAGTAAAAGGCAGAGAGAGACAAATGCATTTCACGTTTCAGGGGCAAGGTCCTGCCCACGCCATTACTCACTTTGTACTGGGAGACTTCCACTCCTCTCTCACTGGCTGATCAAGCAGGGACATCATGGAATAATTATCCAACATGAGACCATCAGGGTCATCTGTCTGACCTGGGAGTTTCCCAAGAGGAAAGTCTTTCCATCGTACTTCATCTGGGTGAAAACAGTACATCAACATGAAGTCTGAGCTCCCCAGTAAGACTTTCGAAAAACCAAGATCCCCCCAAGTCCACAAATACTGTCTCACACAACTCAGCCACTCAGCAAAACTAATAATATCAGGTACTCAGCAAAAATAAGCCTGAACTATAGTTTTAACCAATTTTATTCCTAACCTTACCACCTCTTCCAAAGAAAGTCACTGTAGTATGTCAGACAACAGGGAGACACCTGGGGTCATGTAACAGTCTACACAGTGCAGCTCATGAAAAACACTGTGAAACAATGTCCACTAAAAGACACCCCACATTATTCTAGAGCAATCCTTCATATTTACCTTCCTCTTCTAAGGACACTTTCATGTGAAACATACACACTGATTTACATACATTAATTACAAAAAATTATTCTGCATACTTCTGTAAATGGAAAGTCATTTGTACAGATGAAGATACAAAACAGGACCTTTGCATCCACTAGCGCATTCCTCCAGTGAGACATCAGCTTCTTAACACCTCACTGAGATTAGCAGCTGCACAGCAACAGGGACTAAAGAAGAACTGAAGCCACAAAAGTGGAAGAGTATAAGGCTGGGGAAGCCTAATTAATTAGTACGTGGGCTGGGATGAGATGGCAAAGAAAAAGAATATGACATCCTGGAAATTCTATTTGTTTTTACAAGCACCTATTGATATTTCCTCTCCTTGACTTCACATTACGTAAACTGGGATTCCAATGGGGAATGGGAAACCATCCATCACAATGGGTAATATCAGTGAGTCCATTCCTTTATACTGTGGTGCCAAAATTTCAAGGGCAGTTCCAAATAAGGAAATCCCTCTCTAAATTTCATTCTTGTTTCACACCTAACTAAACTAAAGATACAAATTATTATGTGTTGTTGTTTCGATAATAAGACTTCTTAAGCCTAGGTGCTTTCTCGATAGCAGAACACTTATTTCTGGCATGCTTAGGAGCAGCTCAGTGAAGACCAGCAGACAGAAGCCTTCAGTAGATAAGGCACTCCAGAGAGCCAGCAATAATTACACAGACTATTTGAGGCCTCTGCTCATCACATACAACTTGCCATTTCTTTCTCTTTTCTTGAAATGGATTTGTTTCGCGTACCTGATAGGTGATCAAAACCCTAAGCACTGCCCTAAAAAACCACCAGTGTTTCCTTTTATACCATTCTTGGGCATTTAATAGAACAAAAATTCTTGACATAGGATAGTGCTTTCTAAATGTTATAATTTTACGATTAAAAAAAAGGGGCAGAAATAGCATTTGGTAACATCCAACACAGCTCTAAGGAAAATTACCACTATATACATTTAACAGGCTAAGCCCCCTCTTTGGGGAACAATCTAGTACCTATACTACATGTTGTCACTGGTCTGTACATAACTACTAGCTATAGTTTCAAATTATTTAACGATAGTAACTACGTAGATGTTATTCAAACAGAAATTAAGTTTACCCACAAACAACTATTTAAACAGAATTTTCACAAAAATCAGGTAGTTCAGGGCACAGTGCATGTTCCTCCAGTGAAAGCTTTGCCTGATGCGAATCAGTCACTGAAGCAGAGGACAGTTCTGCTGCTGTTCTCAAAACGCCCAGCTCTAACATCTGTCCACATCAGCACAACTAAGCCAAGCTGCTTAGGCAAGTGGGTTTTTTTGACTTTGGAATATTTCCATGTGAGCGAGGTACAAGAGTTCATTGTCTTCTAATAGCTGCTTTTCTTCTTCCTTTAAATATCGCTTTGCCTCCAACTCCTCCTCCTATCTTCAAGTCCCTCCATAAATCACTCCTCCAAAAGTCATCTACAGAACCCTCTACCTCAACAAGAAAGTACAGCTACCATAATAAAGCTAACAAAGCACCAGCTAAACTGTTTATTCTCTCCAAAAACTTGCCTTGCTCCTTTCTTTCGCTTACCACCATGTCATAACAGGAATTTTCCTGGAGGATGGAACTTAGGAGCATCTGACTGGTGCTTTCCAGCACAGCCAAACTGTGCTTTCAAATATACCCAGGTCTGACAAAGGGAAATCCAAGAAATATCCGTATTTTCTTTGCCACTCACAGCTGGCATATATGCTGCCCCATCAATTGCATGCATAGAAGTTTCAAACAGTTTGGAAAAGTCTCATAAGAAGTTTAATGAGGTAGTAACAACATGCTCCTGGAGAAAGCACTCACAGTATTTTAAGAGTTCAAAAGAGATGACACCTGCACACAGACATAAGACTGGAAAAAAACCCCAGTTTTCAGTAATTTGGCATTTAGATGAGTTTAAAACACTCTTCAGTTCTGGCCAGGCCCAGAGGGCTGGGGTGCCTTTGCATTTCAATTAACATTTGCCAGTGATGAAGACTGGCTAAGTCTTACAGAGCCATTTTTTACCTGTAGTGATCTGCCAGGCGGAGCCTTGCAGTGCTGCCCTTTTCTCAGCAATAGCCACCATGTCACCCGAATGAGCAAGTCCTTCCAAAGGGATTGTTTCAGTTACCATCTCTTCTTCCTCATCCTCCACACCATCATCTCTCTCCAGCACATCTTCTTGTTTCTCTACAGTCTGCCCTTGATTTTTAACCTGATTTTCTTGCCTGGTCCTCCACTGTAAGCTCTCTATAGTGTAAATTGGCTGTTCACTGCAGTCTGAAGAGAGGCCTGGACTGGACAAAGGGCCACCTCCTTCCGTGTAAACAGAAGCAAGATAGAGAAGGTTCTTCCGCGAAGAACGTGGCAAGCGAGGTCTCATGATTGTGAGGATCCTAGAAAGGAAAATGGCAAGGTTAAAGTCTTAAAGGCGAAGAAAAGAAAAATATTCCAGATAAAGGTTTATCAAAATGAGCAGCTTTTAAAGTGTGAGATTCCTTCAGGACAGCTCACTCGTGTATCTCCTCTAACAAGCAAATCTGATTATTCCTTGGTGGATGCTGGAATACTCCTTCTTTTTGATTAACATTAAGGATTTGGGATACTTCTAACTGAATTCCTGCTTTGCTCTTTTCATGTGAAAAAGTTACCACCTGTGCTACATTCGTATCACCTGTATAACCTGCTACATCTCTGCTACCAAGAGACTTTTATCCTGACCAGGTTGCTTCTTAAATACCTCCCCATATAACCTCTGCTTTCATTTTGAAGGTGCAGTCCTTTTAAATTCTCCTCCTTCTTCTCTTTGTAAAATCAATGAGGAGATAAGCAGCAAAAGCAGGGCTTGATATGCACCTGCCACAGTTTCTACTAGATGTAAAAGAAAGGAAGGGAACATGGCTGTAACGCAGCACATCACAAGGGATCACTGTTTGCTGTCCCTTTGATAGGTCACAGAATCAAACTTACAGCTGAAGAAGGTGTGGGGTTGCCCAGCAGGGAGCTTCCAAGCAATTCTCAGTCAGTCTTATCCACTGCAAAGGAACTTTATGGAGGAAGAGCTCCTTCATGGACACCTGTTTGTTAGAGTGTTGTCTTTTCTTCCCTTTAAAGACAGTGAAAACAACAAGGTGCTCAGAACTCATTAAAAATGCCCTTCATCCCTTTGCGTTTTTGCTGGAACACTCATCCTCCGATAAGCTGGCATTCCAACCCAAGTCCAAGTCCAGATGTACTGACTGAATGCATCACGGTTGTTACAAGGGACTTGCCAATGCACTGACAGCTCAGTTAGCTCCTCAAGACGTGACCATAGTGAGATGCAGATGTTCCCAAGCTGGTTCTGTACATGCCATCCCAGGTAGGAAAGCTACAAGATGCCTTTGTACAGTACTTTCCCAAATAAATGGATTATACTGTTTCTGGGACCTGAGATCATTCTAGACAGCACTGCAGTCAGTGGATTTAACAGCTGGGAACTACTACCGTTCAGAGATCTTGGTACATAAGAGCACTCAGCCCTGAGTGAAAGCTTCAAACGTGAAGCCATGACTGCCACAGACACTGGCAAAATCTTGGTGCAGACTGAGCCAGAGTGGGAGAAGACAGAGAGGTGGCAAAATTAACCAGCTGGAAACCTCCTTAGAGATACGCTGCATCGCAGTATCAAAGTCCTATTAACAGATTCCTGTGACAGGCTTCAAATAATTAAAGCCTTTCCATGCCTCTGTCTCTGGAGTGAAACATGCCTGGCCAATTTAAACAGTTCTAATGAGTTAGGAACAGAAAACAAAGTGTAGGTTTAGAAGGCATGAAATTCCTGTGATAGGATTAAAAAAGGACAGCAAGACTCTATAAGTATTTTGTTAAGGCAGGCTTCTGTTAAACACAGGAAGAAGAACTGAGAACAGGGAACTTGCAACAGGCTGCAAATAACATCTTTATTTGTTATCTGCTACTGATATTTCCTGCAAGTATTAATATCTGGAAAAAACAGCACTTAAGACCCTGATCTTTCATGAGAGAGATTGGCTTTACCTCTCCTGAGGAGACTGCAGCAAAGTTGCCAATAACAATTTCAACTTTTTGCCAAGAAATGCATGACATAAATAAGCTGCAGGTGGAAAAGTGTAAGAAATGCAACAACAAAAGCTCTCATGTTCCCATGACAAAACGTAGTAACTAGGTTATTGCACTTTCCATGTAAAGGTCAGACCACTCGCCCAGTTTTCGCAGCAGTGCAGAAGAGACGTGTATTTTTTTTACACTCAGAAATTCCAGACATACTCACCAGCATTTACTTTGGCAATACCAGTCAGCATCTCAGAAATCCAGTTGATCAAGAACTGAGGCCGAAGTTCTGAAGAGTCAGAACATTCCTTCAACTCCATAAACATTTTCTCTATTAGGATCTGTGTAAAACTTCGGGAAAGGAGGCCTGTCAGCAAAGGCTGCCAAAAGCAGTAAAATGTCTGAGGAATTTTGAACTGCCATACCTCTTTATTTGCTGCAATAAGAAGAAAAACATAAAGAGAAGCCAAAAATCACTGGTTTTGTGAACCATGAGTGTGAAACTTGTTCCAAACTAAAGTACACTGTCCTGAGATCACTGGTTCTAGGGTATTTCCTGGGATTCCCACTGAACCTGCAACTATTGTTTTCTTATGCTAGGAAAGTAAAACAAACAGCAAATTGATAATTAACAGAACAGCTCAATGAAAGCAAAAAAATACAATGCCTGGTCTAATCACATGGTAAACCACAGGAAAATCTACCCATTTTGCTAAAACCTTTCAATTTTCAGCTTATTTCACACATAATGATGGGCTATTCTGTTTAAGAATATACTGAAAAGAGAAGGCACATTGAGCAAAGCAACATAGAATCAATAAGCTCCTGCATTTTTACCACCATAATACAATCACAGAAATTAGAGGATCTTTCTTGGAAAGTTCTTTGGCTGGTGTTTCCAGGAGGTCCCAGAGAAATAGACAAATTAGTAATTTTCATTGCCTCTAGGTACTTAATTCTCTTTCAGAAAATGCATGGAATTCTGGAAATATGGGCAGAAGCATAGAACTAAGATGCCACTGGTGAATGAGGCTCAAAAAAACCCATTTAATTTGCTTCATATCTTCAATGTAGAAAAGCAACTAGTGAGAGTTCGTTAAATGAGTAACTACTGCAAATAACTGCAGATGGAAGCTTCAAAAGACATCTTAGCCAGGCAGCAGTCAGTGCTGAAGAGCTATCCTTCCATGGTAAGAGATTCATGCAGAAGCAGTAGCTAAGCATGGCCTTAAAGGTGTCTGGAGAACAGGTCAAGAGATGTTTTAGTGGCACAAGTGAAAAACTATGCAAAGAATTAAAAAAAAAAAACAAACCAGAACAGACTTAAACATAACACTAGCTATGCACTTTTTACTTAAGTGGTGCCCAAACCACTAACCTTCATACTTGATATTTAGCATCTTCAGACAATCCATCTTTGGAATGAGAAAGCCGTCACTGAGAAGAGCTTCAGCCACTGTCTCCCTAGAGCAATTGGAGAGTTATTAATGCCACTTACTCCTTGACATCTCAAAACACCACTTGCAGCAGGTCTGAAACAAGTTTAAGAGCCAAATACCTGGAACTATGAGGAGGTGATGTACCTTGTTCTAAGACACTAAAACTATATGTCCATTTTGGGCTGAATATATCCCCCTAGACTTAAAGGGAATGTGCTGTTGTGCAAACTTGCAGAAAACATTTCTGCTGTAGCTGCAGAGGCAAATGTCTTGGTATTACAACAGCACAGGAACATTTGTCATAAACATTTCAAAAACACAGGAACATTTATCATACTGAAACACCTATGGTTTGCAGTATGATCCAAGTCTTCCGCCAGCAGGCCAGCCAAGGTTTGAGGACCTCTGACCCACACAGCCAGGTTAAATTTCAGGGGAGCAGCCAATCCTGTTAAGGCGTACCTTAAGGTGCGGTTCACCCAGCTGTTGGGCAGGTAAGGTGTGGTAGGGTCACAACTGCTCTTCCCCACAGCACCGACAGCTATTTTTTGGATGTCTCCTGCCCATATAGCTACCCTGCGAACTTCAGTTAGTCTGACAGCACTGAATGGTCCAGCGAGGACCACTTCATCTTCCATTAGGCTGGCGTAATACAAGTGGAAGACTGAGGGACCCACATAGGTAGGTTGAACTGACACTTGAAAGTAAAATACAGCAACAGAGACTGAAGTAAAATTCCCACAACTACCCTAATATCCAGCCATGGGATTCTCTTACGTTATCCTGTTCATGCTTCTATCCATGAGCAAAGATCATAGAATCATGGCGGGTTTGAGTTAGAAGGGACCTTAAAGACCTTCTAGTTCCAACCCCCCTGCCATGGGCAGGGACACCTTCCACTAGACCAGGTTGCTCCAAGCCTCATCCAGCCTGGCCTTGAACACTTCCAGGAATGGGGCATCCACAGCTTCTCTGGGCAACCTGTTCCAGTGCATCACCACCCTCTCCAGGAAGAACTTCTTCCTGGTATCTAATCTAAACCTCCCCGCTTTCAATTTAAACCCGTTACCCCTTGTCCTACGGGCCCTTGGAAAAAGTCCCCCCCAGCTGCCTGGTAGCCCCTTCAGGCACTGGAAGGTGCTATAAGGTCTCCCCGGAGCCTTCCCTTCTCCTTCTCCAGGCTGAACAAACCCAATTCTCTCAGCCTGTCCCCATAGCAGAGGTGCTCCAGCCCTCTGAGCATCTTCATGGCCTCCTCTGGACTCGCTCCAAGTGGTCAATATCCTTCTGATGTTGAGGGCTCCACAGCTGGATGCAGCACTCCAGGTGGGGTCTCACAAGAGCAGAGCAGAGGGGGAGAATCACCTCCCTTGACCTGCTGGCCACACTGCTCTGGATATAGCCCAGGATATGACTTGCTTTCTGGGTTGCCAGCGCACAAGATACAGCACTAAAATAAACACTTCTCAGAATGACAATCAAGGTGGCCACTTTCAAACACTGAATAAATTCCACAGAAGAAACTGCTTTTGCCATCAGACTCATTGGATTTGGAATGGTAGTACCCATGTCAAACACTGCATATTTTGATATAGAATAGATGAGATTTGTCCTCTCCAATAGGGGTGACTTCCAAATGTAAGCATCCAGGCATGACTTAGATCCCACACAGGATTTTATAAATGCAAACAGCAGCTCAAGATCTCAGAGTGCAGAAACAACACACACAAACCATAGACCACTTTGTCGTAAGTAGATGATGTGATGGGAGATCAGAGGGGAAGTGGTAGAGTGTAATTTGTTTGTAAAAACAAAATCCAGTTTCAATTCTTCTCTGGAAACTGTTCCATCATAATTACCATTATTCCTACATGCCATTACTGATCATAACCAACTATTAAGGACATCTCCATGCAGATGGCAGCTTCAGTAGAGAACCATTTAAGCAGAAGAACATCTGATTAAGAAAGGTCCACTGGGTCAGTTCTCCAAAGCAGACAGGAGGGCATCCTCTGCAGTTAGCTCATTTTGCTTTAGGTCTGAAGGAATCTTCTGCCCTCTGCACAATCCAAATTACAGGGTATATTGACAGGGAAAATTGAAACACTTCATGCAAAATTACACAGGCATTCTAAATTAAAAAAGCACTTTCATAGGTCGCTTGACATATTCAAGAGAACTCATAAACTCTGCTATCCCTGAGTGCATAATCCAAGTCTCCAAACCTAATGAAGTCACAACCTTGCCAATGCATTCCATGCCTGCCCTCCTCCCTCCCACGTGGTTTATTTTCTGTGAGTGAATAATCAAAAAAAATCCTCTCTTAAATGAAAGCAAGAAGCTTAAATCAAGTCCTTAAATTAAGCATCTTCAGAAACACACAAGAGACTGCAGGAGCAACTCAGTCTTCGGCTGAGAAGGAAAGTACCATTAGTCAGTCCTTCAGAAAACTCGATTCTCATGGACACCACTGGGGAAGCACTGGCCCAGCTGCATTTGAGATACATGACAGACTCTGTGTGACTGAAAGAGTAAACAGTTGCAGATTTCAGGACAGAAAAGAAGCAAAACAGAAGCAATTACCACAACAGTATTCAAAAGCAACTCCTAGGAGCCTGTGTTCACTTATATAAACACGTACGTGCAAACACGTGTTTAAAGCTTGTGGAGTTTCTCTGGTTTTTTAAGTAGAAATGACTTTATTACAAGCACTTGCACACTTATTGCTGCTTTCGTAGCATAATACTATTCATCTTCTCAAACAACTGTCACGGTGGAGGATGGACTGGTAACAAGGGCTACAGAAGGTAGTTTTCATCGAGTTTCTGAAGGTGTAAAAAAATCTGTGACCATTCACACAAGCACATTTAATGGAGAATTACCTCTAAAGAATGAGAAATCTGCACTTAAGAGAAACCCTGTGCCGTATCTGTTGGCTTTGTGTGGTGGGGGTTTTGGTAGCAGGGTTCCTGTGAGAAGCTGCCAGAAGCTCCCCCGGCTCCAAGTCGGATCTGCCTCTAGCCAAGGCTGAGCCAACCAGCACCTCTGTAACTAACATATTTGAGAGGGGAAAACAAAAGAGAACGAGCAGTGGAAGTGGTGGAGAGACGAGTGGGATGTCAGAGAGACAACCAGGCGACACCCAGGTGAGTGCAGAGGGAGGAGGAGGTGCCCGGAGCAGAGGTTCCCCTGCAGCCCAGGGAGGATGCCACGCCAGAGCAGGGGGATGCACCCAAAAAGCCCATGACTCTGTGTGAGGCCCACGCTGGAAGCCCGTGGGAATGACTTTGTGCTGATAAACAAAGAAGGACTGGCTGGGGATGTGAAAGCTGGGGGCAGCCTCGGCTGCAGTGACCACAGGATGGTGTTCAGGATCCTGTGTGGAAGAAGCAGGGTAGTAAGTAGGATTAGAACCCTGGAATTCAGGAGAGCAAACTTTAGCCTCTTCAAAGACCTACTTGGAGGAGTCGGTGGGTCAGGGCTCTGGAAGATGGGGGGGCCCAAGAGAGCTGGGTAATATTCAAGCGACTCTTCCCCCAGGCTCAAGAGCGGTGCATCCCTGTGAGTATGATGAAATCAAGCAGAGGAGGCAGATGACCGGCATGGATGAGCAGGGAGCTCCAGGAAAAACTCAAGTGGAAGAAGGAAGCCTACAGAACGTGGAAAAAGGGAATGGCCATGTGGGAAGTCTATAGGAATGTTGTCAGAGCATGCAGGGATGCAGTAAGGAAGGCTAAGGCCACTGAGAATTAAATCTGGCAAGGGATGTCAAGGACAACAAGAAGGGCTTCTGCAAGCACATCAGCAGCAAAAGGAAGACCCGGGAAAATGCAGGCTGGCTGCTGAATGAGTAGGGTGCCCTGGTGACGGAGGATACAGGGAGGGCGAAGGTACTGAATGCCTTCTTTGCCTCCATCTTTCCTGCCAAGGCTGGCCCCCAGGGATCCCCGATGCTGGAGGTAAGAGACATAGCCTGGGCTAAGGATGATTCTCCCTTGGTTGAGGAGGAGCAGGTTAGAGGTCAGCTGGGCAAACCCGACACCCAGAAAAACACGGGCCCTGGTGGGATGCACCCATGAATGCTGAGCGAGCTGGCAGATGTAATTGCTGAGCCACTCTCCATCATCTCTGAAAGACCCTGGAGAACAGGAGAGGTGCCTGAGGACTGGAGAAAAGCCAGTGTCACTCCAGTCTTCAAAAAGGGCAAGAAGGAGGACCCAGGAAACTACAGGTCAGTCAGCCTCTCCTGCATCCCTGGAAAAGTGATGGGATGGCTCATTCTGGATGTCATCTCCAAGCACCTGGAGGAAAAGAAGGTTGCCAGGAGTAGTCAGCATGGATTCACCAAGGGGAAATCTTGCTTGACCAATCTGGTAGCCTTCTATGATGGCCCGACTAGCTGGGTGGATGAGGGGAGAGCAGTGGGTGTTGTCGACCTCGACTTCAGCAAGGCTT